TGCTTTTTCGTAAAATTCAAGTGCTTTCGAGTAGTCACCCATGTTGTGATACACCGAACCGACGCTGTTGCAAGAAGTAGCCAATGAGGAATGATTCGAAGGCAGAGCTTTTTCGTATATTTTATGTGCTTTTTCGTGAAATTCAAGTGCTTTCGAGTAGTCACCCATATTGTTATACACTTGACCGATGTTTTTATAAAAAGCAGCCAAATTGGGATGATTTGGAGGCAGAGCTTTTTCGTGGATTTTATGTGCTTTTTCGTAAAATTCAAGTGCTTTCGAGTAGTCACCCATGTTGTCATACACGAGACCGACGCTGTTGTAGGATTGAGCCAAATCCGGATGATTCGAAGGCAGAGCTTTTTCTCTGATTTGATATGATTTTTCGCAAAATTCAAGTGCTTTCGAGTAGTTACCCATGTTGTCATACACGAGACCGAAGTTGTTGTAGGATTGAGCCAAATCGGGATGATTCGGAGGCAGAGCTTTTTTCGTGATTTCGAGATCTTTTTCGTAAAATTCAAGTGCTTTCGAGTAGTCACCCATTTTGTCATACAGGAGACCGATGTTGTTGTAGGAAGCAGCCAGTGAAGGATGATCTGCTGGAAGAGTTTTTCCCTTGATCTCGAGACATTTTTCTTGAAATGATGCTGCTTCGTCGTATAATCCTTGATGGTGTTTCAGCACTGCAAGATTGTTGTAAAATGTAGCTCTAGTATCGTCGTTGAAGGTTTGTTCGAGTAGTGTGATATACAATTTCTCGGCCTTGCTATATTGTCCTATTTTAAATAGCAACGTACCCAATCGTCCCCAACATGGCTGATGTGAATCTTCTCCTAGGATGCTTTCTGTGAGTTGACGCAATTGCTGGTCTTCATCTGACGTCAGTTTAAGTTCTACTTGATATAGTAAACTTTCATTGTCAAGTTTTCGAATTTCACCAATTCGAAAAACGGTGTGCATCGAGAAGAGGATTTCACTTTCTTCCGCGAAATTACTCATTTCCCGTATAGAGGCAAATGGACTTGATAAGATGGTGGGATCTATCGATATTTGAAATAGGATGCCCACCATACTGGGTTTTCCTATGGCACCTCTGGCAAAACCGAGAGAGACAGCTCGATTTGTACTGGTGGATAAGAAATTATTGAAGGAGATAAGTCCACCTTTGTTCTTCTGGAGTTTGTCGAAGCCGACTGTGGATAATCCTTGTTCCCGAAAAACTTCAAAGATCTCTCCATGATAAAGACTGATCTGTTGTTTGTGTAAACTATCGATTTGTCGATGCAAATCAGCAAGAAAAAAACCCATTCTTATAATTGTCTCGCCATCGAGGGTTCAAAGAGACTGGTTGAGCATTTCATAGAGAAAACACTCACGACTGTACCACCAAATTGCTGATTGATCACTATATTGAAGTTCGAACTCAGCGATATCTTTTGCTTTAGCTTTGTTATTCTTGTATTCGTTTCGCCAAAGTTGAATAAAATCCTTCTTGGCTTGTTCACCATGTTTCATATCAAGAAGAATTTCCTTGAATATTTGGGAGTACATGAATGAGGCTTCAAGCTGATTGAGATCTTTGCTGGAATCTTCTTCGTTTACACTGATAATGCTTACAGATATGTCATCTTTATTGCATTGCTTGACAGCCATTTGCAATGCATCGCAGATAAGCGGAATTTCTGTGTATGGACCCTTAACTTTGTTCCAATGACTACTCCAATCTTCTTGTGAAGCTTTGCTACTGCAATCGATGTAGATGCTATCAAGTTGAGGAATATCATGGATGAGGGGTATCATTTGTTGGCCCATAGTATCCGATACAATGAGAAATGCCTTTTGATTATCGACTTCAGTGAGAAAGTCAACACATTCATCACGTTGTGTAAACGTATAGACTTCATTAGCTATGCTTTGCAGTTGTTCGAGTGTATTTTGGTAATCTTTATTTGCTGGATCAATGTTTTCTTTGACCCAGAGGATCAAATAATTTTGAGTGATGTACCGTGTTGATCGCATGATAGTCGATGGGACTGTTGTATTTGGATTGGTATCCATTGTTAGTTTGGAAATATTTTGTTTTGATTCTTGTTCACTTATATTCACTGTGAACTGTCGTTTATAAGTCAATCGAGTATAGTAGATAATTGCTTGTCGTTTAAAGACAGATCACAGTGAATATAAGTGAACAAGAATCAAAATAAAATATTTCCAAA